GCTCCAGACATCAACGAGGATGATCTGTTAGACGCCACGGGTCTAGCTGAACAAGATAGACGTGGGCATAGATCTGCCGTGTGTGGCTGAGGTGAGGCGTGCGGTCCAGGAGGAGGCCCCATACTGGCCACAAAGGTTATGTAGAGCGCGACGGTAGGATTTTGGAAGCCGCGACGGGTCGAGGGTACGTACCCGGCGGCTGACGTAGCAGCCTTTGTGAAGTCTTGCTTGATATGCGCTCGACTCGACTGAAGCAACCGCGTTCCGCCACGCATGGATACGAGATGGGGCACTTGGACGCTGCGGTGGCCCTGACCTTCGTGAGTCTCGGTCACGTAGGTCCGATAACGTAGGTCCGATAATGTAGGTCCGATAACGTACGAGAGTGTTCGCTACATTATACTCGTTATCATGGATCACGCCACGAGGTATATGGTGGCGAGGGTAGTTGCCGCACACGACAGCCGAGCTTACCTACAGTGTTCAAAGCTGGAACTCCGAAGTAGTGCCAAGAGCGATATTTACGGATAACGGAGGCGCGTTCCGCAGGTTGCTCCTCGAGTAGGCCACTAGTGCCTACGGACCACAGGGCAACGGAGCGTCACATCAATTCCTTAAGTTAGGAATGGCGGCACTGTGGCACGAAGGCACCCTTCGGCGATACGGAAAGGGGGATAAGACGATAGAGGTCAGTGTGGCTGACGTTAGAAGGTATCAACCGGTGGCCGAGCTGCCGTCTGTTGTGACAGGCAGGAAGCAAGAAAGTCTGGCTATAGACCAAGACCAGGCAAACGGCCACAAGCAATCGACGTGACTCGTAGTGACGAGGAACACATAGGTCCTGAGGGTTGGTGCTTCTTCCCCATGCTAGCGAGTAGGAGGAGGATGAGAGGAAAACGGGCAGATGGACATAACGGGCAGATGGACATAACGGTCCGGCTGGGTTTTTGGGGGAGGAGAAACAACACATCACCTATCATCCCACCAACTCGCACGGGCGCCCGAGGGAGCGAGGGAGGGCTTGACGGCGAGAAGAGGCCAAACTAGACGACTGCCGGGCTTGTAAGAAGATCTAAGACTGACCATACTCTACCCGCGTTCACTGAGAGAGTGAAGCGTGAACTTCTTCCAACATATCATGGGCGGACGCCCAATAGGCTAAGCAAACTACAGACTATTGACAACTGGCTACGACCATTACTACAACAACGCAAACTATCTGAGCTACCATCGGCACCGAACTTCACACTACCCACGAGGGTCGTGAAGGATCGCGTAACACATGACTGCCGCCCGCTACTGCCCTACATCGACGATGCAGGCCGTTTTCCCAACATTCAGAGCTGTTGGCCGATAATAACATGGGGCGTGCAGCAACCACTACTAGCGAAGATCGACCTCAGTAAAGCATTCCACGCTATACCACTACCGCCCGATCAAATCGGGACGTACGCTTTCCAACATCGGACAAACACTACGCTTACAACTGCATGCCGATGGGTGCCACCAAT